AGGTGGGGTTGGGGGCATAGGTGGAGCTGTAGGACTGGGAGGTGGCACCACCATCATTCCGACAGGGTCGCTGAGCTCCTCTTCAGCAGCAACACCGAAACGCAAAATCACCAAGGAAGAGAAAGAGCAACGGACGAAACTACGTGCCCTTTGCCAGTTCATGCCACAACGTGAGTTTGAAGAATTCTTCGATAACATGCACAAAGAGCGCATGCTGCGGGCGAAAGTTCGGGAGCTTCAGCGTTATCGGCGGAATGGCATCACGAGACTCGACGAGTCGGCCGAGTATGAGGCGGCACGTCACAAACGAGAAAAACGGAAAGAAAATAAAAGTATTGCTGGTTCAAAGAGAGGTAGCAGCGGCGGAGGAGGAGCGGCCGGGCTTGGAGGAGGAGTTGGAGCAGGAGGTGGGCTTGGCGGAGGAGTCAGTGCCATCAAAGAGGAGGGGAAAGACAGTGAGTTCTCAGCCATCGAGAACCTGTCTGGCTTTGAGCTGCTGTCCGATCGGGAGAAGGTACTGTGTAACTCTATGAACCTAAGTCCCACACGCTATCTGACTGTCAAGACTATAATCATCAAAGATCACTTACAGAAAAGGCAAGGCATTCCCTCGAAAAGCCGCCTGCCCAGCTACCTGGACAAGGTGCTGAAAAAAAGGATTCTGAATTTCCTGTCGGAGAGCGGCTGGATATCCCGAGAAGCCTCTTAACGGCACTGTCCAAAGATTTGGCTGTAAGAATAATAGCTGTAAATATATTTTTCTACTGTTTTATATTGCATCTCAGAAAAGCCTGTGAGAACTAAATGACTGTAGATGCCACACTACTGGTTGTGGACCTTCAGTGAGTCTAACATGTCTGTCTTTGATCTCAGATCTCCTCATCGAAACATAAACATGGTTATAGTACATAATAAGTATCCATAGGGAACTTTCCAGCAAGTTGTTTTGTGTAATACATCAGAATAACCACACAAAAACCCATTGCCCCACGTTAAAATGCCTCCGTTTTGAATGTGAATTGGAGTGGTGTTGAATGTTCCCTGCCAATAGAGTATAAACAGAATGTTTATTGTTGTACAAAGCAGATTTTTCAAATTGGTTCTGAGTTTCTTTTTCTTTTTTTATAATAATAAGGAAATTAGGTCAGATCCTTGTTCTGCTTGCCAAAAGTCTAAACTTCCTGTGTTCTAACCTGAATTTGCCTGTTTCAGTTGGATGTATTTTGTTGTGTCAATTGTGGGAATGTGAGTCACATGAAGCATGCTCCATACTATCTAAATGTCTAAAAGTTCATGTTTGATTATTATTATTTTTTTGTAGTTGATCTTTGCGAGGTTATGTTACTATTGAGCATGTTTCAGAGGCTCAAGTTAAATGGCACACATCCAGGCCCTGATCACCAATGGAGAACATTTACCACGATGCTCCTGTTTCAAGAGAGTATTATTCTGTTTGTTGGGTAAAGTGAGGGTTAAAGCTAAATACAGCATGAAGGGTTCTCATCTCAACATGTACACGATTTATAAGCTGAGACTGTATGTTACAACTACGTACTACATTTTTTTTAATTTTCAAATGCCTTGACAAAATCTTCATGCAATGCCAAATCTTAGATAAACATATTTTCCCATGATTTTTAATGTTATTGTTGACTGCTTGTGTCTACCCCAAAGCTGTAGAAAACTAAGAAAAGCACTGTTCACAGAGGCCAATGCAAAGGTTTAATTTTT